GACCCGCGGTCCGGACGAGAACCGCACCCGTTACACGGCTGTCGGGCCAGGATGCCGGGCCGTCTAGTCCCTTCGAGCGCCGTGGGCAAAGAGAAGGATGAAGCCACTGGAAGAAGCTGCCGCCACTCGCGCCCCTTACCTGGACCCTTCCTTCCCGAGCACTGCCCCACCTTCACGAACTCTCGTCCCGCGGCACGACGAGGACACCAGATCCCCTGTTTATTTTGAACACTTTTTTCCTTTGGACACTTTATTCCCTGCTTTGGATATTTTTATGTTATTTTCTGTTAATAAAAGCCTCTCCAAGGCCTGACGCCACACCCACTGTGTCTGTCGTTTGCTCCTCCCGCCACAATATATATATATATATATATTTGCACCCTCACTAATTTAAGAAGCACCCTCAGTGATTTGATTCTGGAGCCGGGCCTAGCGGCGCCTCTTTCAAAAGAAGTTGATCAGATGAGAGTCTGATGATTATAAAATAAGACACTCATGAAATGTTTCTCTGTGAGTCTCTGTCACAGCAGGATCTGTCTCAAGTCAACTATGATCCTTTTCTTCTAGATCTCTGTTACCTGCAGGAACTGGATGTGATCCTGTGTGTGTGAAAGCTGCTCCAGCTCAGCGTCTCTCCTCCTCAGATCATTAATCTCCTGCTCCAGTCGCTCCAGTTGTTCTTCAGCTCGACTCACTGCAGCCTTTGCCTGATCCCTGATATCAGGAATCAGGAGCCGTATCAGCTTAAAGCACCTTCTCTCAATTGAGAATTTGATCTCAGTAAAGATCCTCTCACTGTCCTCCACTGCTGTCTGTGTAGAGCGCTGTTAGGACACACAGTGATTCAGGCTTCAGTGAGTCTGAACTGAGACTGAGACAAAATTCTCTTCTTCTCCAGACTCACCTTATGAGACTCCACAGCCTCTCTCAGTTGCTGAAGATCTTTCTCTCCCTGCTGGATTCCCTGCTGGAATGTCTCCTGTGTCTCCTTCAGCTGCTTCTGCAGGACAAACAGATGATAGTAAATATAAAAAAAAACTACTGGCACTTAATCATCATGTGAACAGATGAATCCAGTAAAAGTGGAACTGATCACTAAAGGCTGTAAACTCCATGATTAAGGATGATTAATTGTTTACCACTATTGTACATTAATTAACATGAAGATTAAAGCTTGGTTCACACTACAAGTGTAAGTTTTAAATACCTGATTCTCTGTCCTTTGTGCTGCAGCTGATACAGTGTCATGGTTTTTATGTTCATATTTTGTACATAGCTCACAAATGCATTGTTGGTCAGTAATACAGTACATCTCCAGATGTTTCTCATGTTTCTGGCAGATCATCTCCTGCAGTTGTCCAGTGGCATCAATCACTTTGTGTGGCTTACGTGAATGAAATTCCTCATGACGCTCAAAATGATGTTGACAGTAAGATTCCTGACACATCAGGCAAGACTTAACGGCTTTGTAATTTCTTCCAGTACAGACGTCACACTGCACATCTCCAACTCCAGCGTCACAGTCAGCAGTAAGTTTGGTCTCCTTCGATTTCTCCACCAGTTCAACCTGAATGGTGTTTTTTTCTAAAGCAGGTCTTGGACTGAAGGTCTGTCTGCACTGAGGGCAGCTGTAGACTCTCATCTGATCCTCCTGATCCCAGCAGCCTGTAATACAGCTCTTACAGTAACTGTGTCCACAGGGAATGGCCACGGGATCCTTCAGGAGATCCAGACACACTGGACACGTCAACTCATCCTGAGAAATTCTGGCTTCTGCCATTTTACTGCAATAATACAGAGACACAAACACACAACACTTCAATCACACTTTTTCCCTTAAGTCAAAAAGAAGAAGTTATGTGTTTGAGTGATGTGTGTAAAACTTGCGTGTCTGTGAGTCTGTAAAGAATGAAATGTCTACTAGATGTCAGTCTCAGACAAACACTCAAAAAATGTAAGTTACAGAGAAGAAGGACAACAGCCTTAAAAAGTGCAGTAATACTGCATCCTAATTACTACATAATTACTATATTATACTCTGAAAAGGGGGAATTAATATGACGTTAAATTCCAGCAGTGTTCTCTCTACTGAAACTTTTTGCAGATTGATAAGACAAATTGCAATAAAGCACATTTTCAGAACATTGCTCGGTATTCAGAAGGGTTCAGAATTATTATAGTTTCATACTGTACCAAGAATAAATGTAATAATAGTTAACTATCAACTGATACACTTGAAATAATCAAAATTCTCTCTTATAAATAAAAATTTACTTTTTAAACTATTGTTCTTTCTTCAAATACTTATTTCCTCATATATACATATTCGAACATTTCTCAATATATACATATCTATCTCACATCTACTTCTTCTACATCATTTTCATTGTTCTCCCATTATAAACACATTTCAGGCACAAATAAACAATTAATTTTAAAATAAATACTCATTTACACATTAAACATCAAAGTCTAACTTGTTAACATAAAATTTCCACATGCGCATCTGGTGCTTTCCGTGCACAAAATGGAGTCGCTACACACCCTCTTACCAATGCTCTTTACTGTGCATCAGCTTTAACTCATTCAAACACATAAAACAGTTAAAATAGCCACTATAAAAAAGTGAAACATTATGCATTAACCCATTTTACACTTTTTACCAAGCATTATCCCTCATACCTGAAAAGGGGGAAAATATTAATATGAGACGAAACTCCAGCGGTGTTCTCTCTGCTGAAACTTTATGTAGAGAAACCCGCGAAAGTTCCCCCTAGTGTCTCGTCAGGCAAAACTAATCAATCACCAACATACCTTAGTTTGACTAATAGATCACAGATCCACAAGAAACCATGAAAACTAACTTTCCATTTGCATTATTTAAACAAACAATTTTAACCATTTTATGAACTCTTTTAATCATGTTCCTTCTTGGATTATATTATGACATTTCTTAATTACCATTTTAATCTATCACACACTCCCCTACAAAAATAAATGTCGTCTTGACTCACAAGAGTCTTTCAGTCCCTTTTGTGTTTCACACAAATTTTGTAGTGCCAGAGTTCTTGTAACTGTCCAGCATTTTAACAGAGAACAAGCATAGTTCTCAATGTCTGCCTGTATATACAGCCAAAAGAAATGTTAACGGATGAGTGAGAGTGTGCGAGCTGTACCTTGATGGCCCATTCCATTGTGAAGCTCTCGCAAGATGGTTCCATTATATTTCTCCGGCTGGACCAACTGGGTGCGGGTGGAAGTGGCTAGGCAGAGGATACCCTCCTTGATGGCGAGTTTTCCACATTCGTGAAACAGGCATTTTGTTTTTGGGCTGACTGTTTTGAGTTTCACTTTTGGTTTTGTACCAGACAGTTTGCATTCATATACAGGACATGATTCATGGTCATTCATTTGAGCCCCTTAGATTTCATTTACAGACAATGGAGTTATTGTCGGAACTGCTGGACATGTCTCAATAGATGAACAGTTGGTCGAGACTGACCATTGGATGCTGGGTGCTTCTTGAGTTTCTACAGCCAGAATGGTTGCACCTATTACATCTGACGACAACTACTCATAAGCAATCACACAAAGTTTCTCATTTTGCTTCTGGTATAATACTGCACATAAGCCTTGAGCTGACACATCTGTATGCAGTATAAAAGGTTGTGAAAAGTCCGGGAAAGCTAATATAGGGGGCTGGAGCAAACAGTCAATTAGTTGTTCAAGAGTGCTCTGATGTTGTTCCGTCCAGGTAATGGGCTTACTCTATAGAACACCAGTTCTCGTGCATTTTGTCTTTGACTGTCTCTGGCTATTTTTCAGGTGAGCATTATCTTCTGGAGTACTTTTTAGCAGGTCGTACAAAGGGCGAGAGCAATCTTTAATGTACTGCCTGTAGTAGGTAAATAGACCAAGAATTCTCCTCAGCTCACCAACATTCATTGGTTGTTTGTCTTTCAAGGATCTGACAGCTTCTGTGTCCACGGGATTAACTTTACTTCCCTCTGCAGAGACTATTCTGCTCAGATAGCAGTCTTCGGGCCGTTATATTTCTCACTGATTTCTGCTCGTTCTAAATCAGATATAGATAAAGTAGCACAGTAAAGATTACATTTATATGAATGCATTAGTGAGAGAGCGACTGCATGTGTGAACTGATTCTACCTGGCCACATCTCTCTACTAAGAGTGAAGCTGTGGGTTTTAGTTACTAAGAAATATATGCTAGAACTTTTCATTTTCTAAGCTACATTACTGAGAAATCACAGAACAGTGTTGACAATACATTTCTGCGCTACTGAATGATTCTGTGTGTGTGCAATCTGCGCGTCATGTACAAGCTGCAGCAGCGCATTAGATTAGAATGGTGATTATCTTACCTGTACAATAAGCTGTTTAAAACGTGCATTTTCCTGTTCAGTTTCGAGCATTCAGGTGGTATAATCACAAGTCTTGTGGAGCGTATTTGGAGTATGCATTTATTCGTCATTTTAACTGTTTGGAAATGGAGCATAAATGAGAACTTAAAGATTTCTTATTCTGTTGCAACCTCTATAGGACCAGCGACAAGTCGACATCAAGCTTAAAGCGTCATGGCAGAGGATTAAAGCCGACTAATCGACTAGTTGACTAGTCTGTGCATCACCTAGTGTTGACGTGACCGTTATCCGCAGCCTGGATGTGGCATACCCCAACAGCGGTAGGGTTTGCTGGCACCTCAAACATACTAGCATGGAAAACATTATTGACAAGCTGCACTGTACCAGTCGGAGTCTGGCCCATCAGAGTAATATTGTGATCAGTGTCATTATATACCTCAATTGTGATATTTGTTGGAGTCCCTCTTTTAACTTTCTGTCACCATTATTTTATATAGTGCTTTTTACAATGCAGATTGTGTCAAAGCAGCTTTACAGTATTAAACAGGGAAATAGTGTGTCGAAATAGTATACCGTTCTCCTCTGGCCAGATGAAACCAGCAGTTTAAGTCTAGGCTGCAACAAAGTCAGATTGTGCAGAGGACTCATCTGGTTCCCGTGGTCTTGTCCCAATGGCCGTCTAGGTGATGAGGTCTTCGGCGGGGATCTGTCTCTGGGGCTCTTCTAGTTGTCCTGGTCTCCGCTGAAATTCAGTAATCATGCTATCCATAAAAAAGTAAGGGTTTAAATAATTTTCACATGATATTGTCATCTGAACAAGTAAGTAACAAGTCTGCCACTTTAGTTCTGACCAACTGAGAAAAAAAAAACATTAATCAACAATTAAACAATTAATCACGCTACCAATGGTGATTAAATCTAATGATCGCTTAGCTCATATCACATCAAACAGTGCACATTATTATTATTGTTATACTTTGTATTTTAAATTGTTAATGTTAACAACATCAGCATTGCGTGACTACGTATAAATAGTGTGTATTAGCGTTACTTGTACGTTTTTCATTTCTGTACAGTCTAATCTTTAATTGTCATACCATTCAAATTTCATAATTTCATCAAGAAATTGTTCTTTTTACCCAAAAAGCAAATTTTTGCTCCTTAGAACTGACTCTCTTGGAAATACAAATCTTGTGTAATCCCACGTATCTGGGATGCACATTTAAAACTGGAATATAATCTAATTTCAGTCACTTACATGCGTTTCATTAACACATAATCCTTTGTATATCATCAGTGTCTCAGTACAGATGACCAGATTTCCTGTGCAAATCATCATTTTATTTATTTATTTATTTATTTTTATTTAGTCATTTAGCAGACGCTTTTATCCAAAGCGACTTACAAATTGTGTAATCCCACGTATCTGGGATGCACATTTAAAACTGGAATATAATCTAATTTCAGTCACTTACATGCGTTTCATTAACACATAATCCTTTGTGGATTACAGTCCGCTATCAAAATGATATTAATTATTCTAGCTGCTGTGAGAAAAGGCTATAAATAATCCGCCACCTGCAGCATCCTCACAAGCAATATGTTCTTCTTTCTGTTTACAGACTTGACGTAATGACGCAAAGACGAATGGCGGCATGCTTGTATTTCCAGTGAAAACCTACCAGTACCACTCAAATTAGAAAACATTACAAGTTTACCGTTGTGAATTGGGCTAAGGTAAGGAGATAGTTTTAAACACTGGCTGGTTATGTACTTGCTCAAAAATTTATTTTGGATCATTTTTAACCAAAAAGCGTTACGGACTGCATCTTTAAAATAAAGTGTATCCAAAATTAACTTTGAGCATTTCAAAATGTGATATACTCTAATTACAAGTTCTTAATTTTTTTAATCTGATTATGTAATCCAGATTACTTGTAATAAATTACTACCCAGCACTGCTGATAGGTCAGCTGACCTGCCACTCCAGTCAGTGAAGCAACTACTGAACGACTGAACACAAACACACTCACACAAATAAAAATTAATGACAATAAAATCAGCGACTCGTGACACCGGAAAACAGAAGTACACAAAACACTGAAAAGTGTTGGCGCTACATGAGGTGAATAATGAAAATCATTACCGACTGTGATCATTTGAAATGAAAGGTAATTTTGATAGTAATAATAAAAATAACTGATGTGACTCTACATTAAACACTAAATGACTGATTTCAATCAACACAAACAGAAGTTGAGAAAACCACAGAAACACATCGTCACTCAGCAGGACTCACACACACTGATATTACTGTCAACATAAGGATTTATTACACACATTTATTCTGACATGTTATTTCAGTGACAGAAGTTCAGCTGCAGTATTTATGTCATGAAGAGAAAAGAAGAGACTCTATAACATATCATGCAAAGGATTATGAGTATAATCTCTTGTCAATCTATTCTGATTCATCAACACAGTTTCACTGATGATTCTTTATAAACACCAAACCCAGGATAGAGCGGCTGAGTGAATGTGGTCTGGACTGTGTGGATGAGGCTCATTGTGTCAGAGACGCTATAGAAGGACAGAGTTCCTGCACTGTGATCCACAAACACTCCTATTCTACTGCTGATGGGCTTTACACGGAGAACAGTCACCATGTTATTGTGTGTGAATGAGTAACCGGAAGGACAGCAGTCCAAACTCCAGGACTGATCATTACATCCAAACAAACATTCATTACTCCGTCCCTTCCTGCTGATTCTCTTATATGACACTGATATATACACACCATTATTCCCACTCCACTCCAGCTCCCAGTAACAGCGTCCACACACACTCTCTCTACACAACATCTGATACCAATAATCAAATCTTTCTGGATGATCAGGATACGGCTGGACTGTGTCAGTGCCAGTAACCACTCTGTTGCTCTCAGACAGACAGAGCCGTTTATATGCTGTGTTCGGATCCAGAGTGAACTGATGGGAATCTGATGGAGATAAAACACATCAGAATCAGGAATTATGAATCTGTTTGATCTTTTCATGTAGCTGATTTACATCATCAATTATGAAACTCTTTTTTACATTTTTACAGGAAGAACATGAATACACACATGAATTTTTCTGCTTGATTTCTTACTGACTTACATTTCAGGAAGTTATTCCTGGGCCTGGGAACAATGTTGGTGAATGTGACTGTGGAAATCAACAGACATGAACAGTGTGATTCTCATGATCCTGCATCCATTCCTAAGACATTTCTAATATGATGTTCTCCATGATATGAGATGATGATGGACTCGTTTCTGAGAGCAGATGAATCTCCAGGACTTTACCTCTGTCTGAGAT